TTATCAATATATTTTAATTTAGTATAACGAGTCGTACTTCTATATTTTTTTTACATCTGAAATTCATGATGTAATGCAACTTCTATGATGTAATGAAAGAGAAAGATGCTTCAGAGGTTTCAGAAATTAAAAGAGAAAATTTCAACGTAAACGCACCATAGAGAAGGTCTATTTATTGGCTCGATTCAATCGCCATCGATTTTCAAAGATATCAGCTTTAACTTGTTATTCTCGTTGTAACTAACCATTTAATACTACAATAGGGTTGAAAAAACGTGGCTATAAATTGATCAAAAACGGTCGTGAGTTAGAAAAATTCGATGGGAGAATAAATGGATATTGGAAATAATTGATCGATATGTTTCTATCGATTGAAATATGTACACTCACATGTTCATAAATTGTTAGATATTTAATTCCAAATAGTAATATATTAATAATTTATTTATTTATTGATTCTTATAGCTTCTTATAAATTTAATTATATTATTATTATATATTATTATTGTAATATGATATTAAGAGGAAATATTGTAAACGTATTAAGAGGAATATTATTTTAAATATTAATAAAATAAATAAAATAATTCGAGTAATATCCGAGAGACAGATTAATTCAAATCCAAATTTTATCGAAATAATGAATTATTATATTTTTTATTAAATAATAAAAATTTATTTCAAGTTAGATTCAAGCATATTTATTTTCTTTTCAAATTTTATAATTTATAATTGGAAATGGAATGATTGGAGAAATATTAAATAAATGTTTGGAAATTTACAACTGTTTTTAATAAAAACATGAACGTATTAACACAGGTAATAACAGTTTAATGTTTAAAATAAACGTCTGATGACTTATGGACAAGAGTGTACGTACAGTTCCAAACAGCTTATTTCCATCCGTCCAAAAATTAAACTAAAATCTACGTAACATTTAAAGCTCTCTCTCTCTCTCTCTCTCTCTCTCTTTCTCTCTCCTCTCTCTCTTTCCATTTCAAAGCGCTTCAACGTTCGCTTTAACGTTGCATGGCCGACGTTTTAATAATATGACTGTTATTTAAAAGATGCCCATCCATCGAGAGCAGAGTTTAATTACGCGTGATTACGAAACGGTAATTAGTAATTCCGTTTCGTGGACGCGCATCTGTTTGTCCGAAGGTTCGTCATCGCGTTTAGAACCGTCGATCGTGGAAATGATATTTAATGGACGAACAGTTTCATCCTGGAGCATTGGTTATAAATTATATCAGACACGTTATGGCCTGTTCCTCTCTTAATATGACACGCGATGGCAATTTGTACCCCATTATGACCGCTTTCTATTACGCATAACTACGAATCGCATTTCCTCATGTTAACCAATTGCTGTACAAGGCTTCATCGTACTTGATCGAAATCCTGAAATGGAAAAACAGCCTATTCCGTTAATTAATCGGATAGAGGTAATTGCATCGAAAAATAGACGAACATCGATGCCTCCATAAAATCGGAGATAATGAAGATGAATTTGTACACTTTGAGTTAACAATTGAAATTTACGTGGTGTATATTACGTAACTAATAAGAAGAGTTTGAATAAATATCCTTACTTAACGTTTAACATAAAAAAAAATAAATTATAAATAATCGTTACTCTCTTTTCTAATATTCTTTATTTTTTTTTAGCTTTGAAGATGATGATTAAGTCAAATAAGAGATATATAATGATCGAGGAAAAGGAAAGAGTGAAAATTGAGTAAGAAATTTTTTTCCATGAATCTTGTTTCGATAACTTTTTCAATTCTCTGCAATTAAAACAAGGTAAATAATTCATATTTCTAAATAAATTTCAAATTTTTCTAAATACCAAAATATTTAATATTCAATTATTATATGCAGCTGTTCAATGTTAAGTAAATTTGGTAAATGAAAAAAAAAAACAAGTTATATTTCTCTTATCAAAGAAACAATTTTTAGTTATTCGATATAACTAAAAATGTATTTCATCGGGATGGGGAAATTCTTTTAAAACTTCAGCCGGAAAGCACGGAGAATTTCCTGCGGATATTCCGAGGAATCCGGGCAAGAACGGAAGTCGGATACGGAAGTCACCGCTTGAAATAAGCCTGCAGTTTGCTTTCGCCTTGGAGTAGTTGGACAACCACGTCTCGTGCCAACAACTTTACTACAATATCGTCTTTCTACGATTCCTCTTTGTTAGTCTGGTTTCCTGTTATTGCTCAATTCCTGGTCTGACACTATTCTTCATTTATTTCAAGGAAAAGTCGGATAGATCGTAACTAATGCTTTTAATTTTAATTAAAGAATAATAATTATTACTCATGCTTTTTAACTTATATATTTCTTTTTTTAAGTAGATTTTAGAAACATCATTTCAAAAAGATATTTTCTTCTTTAAATAATTAAAATACGTTTCAAGTTACGTGATTATTTTTAAAAAATATGCCATTTAAAAAATTTTGCAATGAATAAAATATGCAATTCGTTAGCGTTAGCTTGAAAGAATGTAACATATACAGTTAAATTATTTCCTCTTTGCAATCATTGTTTTTGCTGTGTATAATTAATTATAATTACAGAGGAAGGGAACTTTTTCACAGTTTACTGATCAGCTTATATCAAAATTACGTATCTTTTTTTTTTTTTTTTAATTTTTCGAATCTTTTCAAACAGAGAAAATTAGTAATTCAAAATAAAATATAAAAATTCGTATAGAAAGCAGCGATATTAAATTGCGGAAGCGGAAGTACTTAATTAAAACTTTGAATGGAAATGAGTTCAAAATATAAAAAGAGAATTCCAATATCAGGAAGAATCTTTTTTTTTTTTTATGTGTGATTTACAACATTCCAGAATATGCTTGTATAAGTGTAAAAAACAAATAAGAAAAAAAGAAAGAAAAAAAGAAAAAAAGAAAAAAAGAAAGAAAGAAAAAAAAAGAAATTCCATAGATCCAATATAGAGAAAATCAGTGAAAGTTGCAGAGGAATTGCCGAGTTCGAGCTTGTCGCCATCCTCCGGATATGCAAGCAACTAGCTCGTTCAATCCAGATTGTAACTAACTGTTCGAAACTGCATTTCCTACGATTTATCAACGGGTTTGTGTCTTGGCTAAACCTGTAATCCCGATCCACACGGAAATATAAATATCGTGGGACCTGTTGCGCTTTGCGCACCATCGATGTTGGCACATCCAGGCCAAGTTGAAAGTGGTAGTAGCATCACAGAAGAACTTGGCGAGATTCTGAAAATCTTACAGTAACTTTCTGGATCATTGAATATGTTTAAAATTACGTATCACTTTTCTTTCGTGAAGTTTTTTAATAATTTTGATAGAAGTCCTCGAGGATTTTAATATTTTTATCAGTTTCAATCACAGTTTTAATTGAAATCTTAATTGTATAAATGGTACTGTGTTCTTCAGTTAAAATATCGTATGCAGCATTTTGGAAAACTTGGGAAAGTTTCGTTATTTTCCTTTCTTTCCTGTCTTCTTTTAGTTAACATAGATAAATTGAATTTGACTCTAGATTCTTGCAAAGTACATAGAGTTATCTAATTTTATTTAAAATTTAAAAGAACACATGGAACTTAAATGTAAATTAAAGAATAACAAAATGTTGGATAGGATATTTTAAGTAAGGAAGGTAGTATTGTTTGTTTCTTTTAATTCTTTAAATTATTATTTATACATACAGGTTTAAAAATTGTTAACTGAGATATAATATCTTGATTCACTATGATACGTGGATGCACTTATTCAAAATTTATTACAGGTGATAGAGAATCGTTAAGAAAGGATGGACGAAGAAAACTTCTTTCGTTTTACGATTAGTTTTCCTTATTCCCTGTTCGCCTACAGGATGGATAATAAAAGAGGCAATAACTAGTAGACTTTCATAACAGGCACTAACCTCATGACGCTCCTTTCCTCGTATGTTCCTTCCTGAAAACTTTTGAACCGTCTGTTTTTCTTGTGCTCGTAAAAAAGATACCAACCTACTATAATTTTTCCATTTATAAGCACGACGTGGATTTCATAACGATAATATAATAATTTTTTTCCCTTCTTTTTGAACTTACAAGCGTTCCTCGTTTCGAATTTCATCGACTTTATATGGAGGGAAAGAGCAGAAAGTTATAAATACGGGTATAAAATCTTCATAATTTATCTTAATATTAATCCAAACGATAATTTGAAACTTTCATAAATTGACTATTTCTGTTTCATCGTAAATCTTGGAATTTTCATCTGGCTACAAATAAGGTTATTTTCAGATTCGAGACACATTGAATTTTCTATATTTAAACATTTAACGAGACGAATTATAAGGAACGAGGTGAGAAGTCAATTTGCATTGTAGAAAAACAAGGAAGGAAGTTGGTACAGAGGTAGTAGATGATTTGCAACGGCGAATTGAAAGTTATAAGTCATGGCCTTTTCAACCCTGGAGCAACTCCCTCCCAGAAGATTGAATTTTACTTTAACGTTACTTGAAAAGTCGTTACTGTTTCCTGTACTTTAACGTATTTTCGAGTTGCAACAAAAGACAAAGGTAAAGAATTCGTTAATATCGCTTCTACAGTTGAAAGATATAAATCATAACACGAATGCCATGAATAATGAAGTTTTTTCGCTAAAAAAAGTTTCCGAAAGTGTTTATATATTTTTCATATTTCAATTTTTTACATTAAAATTTTTAAATTTATGTAATATTTATTAATTTTTCATTTATATTTTTGATCGAGATAATAAGGTATGAAATTAAAAAAAAAATTATAATTTTTTCCAAATGTAATAGATAAAAGATATTGAAAGATATTATATTTTTTTTTAGAATTCGAAATATTTTAATAAGAATAAAAATTCGATAAAAGGAAAATATTTTATGTTTAATTATTATTTCTTAAAATATTAAACAGAGCACGTGGGAAGGCGCATGTGTAACACACGCAGGAGCACGTGGCTGGCTCGAGCCGCGATTCGGTCGATTTCGGATAGTTTCGTAAGTCGACGGTAGAAGGATCGGTGGCAGTCGCGCGCCGGCCGCTGCCTCGATAGGGTGTTTGTATTTACGTCGCCGCGATGAAAATTTGGCCGCCATAGAGGTTATGTTTACGCGTGCCGCGGTAACCAAATCAACGACGCATGCCCTTCTGCGTCCATCTTTTCGAAAATCCTTCACCGATCGCCACGTGCCTGTCGAGAAATCCATTGACTTCCTACGACATCGCGTCCCTTGGTGCACGGAGCATCTTGACAACTCTTGATATATCCAGACTTTCGTGAGTACAATATTCCATCAATCCTATTCTATTTTTTATATCTCTGTATTATCTGTATTATATTCATATAACGATTTGATAAACGAATCATTATGATTTGGAATATCGTAACGTTGAACATTGATTTGGACGTGACATTTATGAGCAGAGTTTAAACATGGCGATCGTATTTGCCAATCAAACGTATTAGTTTGACCACTCGAACTATTTACGCGGTATTTCTCTTCGAATATCACGATCGAAATATTCTCAAGTAGCCACCAGAGTGCTCTAATTGTACCGTATCGTGTAAAATAATACGAAATCAATTATATCTTTTGTATTTTTCGCATATATAATTTCATTTTAACGTAAATCGTGATACGTAATTGAAATACGCATCGTAAATACGTAGAAATTTTTTCTGAATCGGATAAATAAACACAACACAAAATTCATAACACACGTGTCGCCGTATTCCTAGAAAACGAAACATATGCTACACTGAGTCATGTGACATGACTCATCCCGATACTTTTTCACGTTGTATTCGTATTCGCGTATTCGTTTAATATTTTTTCCACGTGATTTGTCGCGTTCGAAGAAATGATTTATTTCGATATATTAGAGTCGTTCGATTATGCGAATCAGTTGTGCGTAGTGATTATAAATAAAATATAATGCCGGAATAATAGTGTGAGTTTTAATATTGTTCAATCGCTTATAATCTCGCCGCAAACAAAGAGCTCGGGACGAGATGAATTATAATGTCGAACATATTTTGAAACTTGGTCCAATAATAATTTACAATTGACCATTCGAATCGAGTTTTCCTGCGCGACAGATGCATTCACGCGTAATTCACGAATAAATTATATCATGCGTGTACAAATGATGCTAGTTAAACGACTGGTGATCATTGTTATTGGGTGAAATTTGCTTGAAAAAGTTAATGGCGGAAATTTATCATCTTGTTATATACGGGCTTTTTATTAGAAAACTCGGTGGTAATTAATCGATTAGGTAATTAGCTACGCGTTTTATTAAACTTTTTGTTCATGAAAGAATCGATCTCTTTATTCATCAAGGTCTACGATAATTTTCTTTGTTTCACATAAAGTAGATATTAATCTCTTAAGTTGCTGCATAATGAATTTTGTTCCCAAATAAATAGCATTATAAATATTTTTATTTTAAAACTTGTTTTAAAATAAAAATTCTTAATCAAAATAGAATTTTTAAACATTCTTAATTGTTTCTTAAATAAATTGCATTCTTATTGTTGGTGGTTAATTTTAGAGATCAGATGGATAAAAAGAACGGAACAAAATTGATTAACAAATATATTATTCTATTAATAAATTTAATTGACTACAAATAAATTTAATTGAACGTTATAACTAACTAATTTTAAAAAATAATCGTTGTATCGCGAAATTATTTATAAACTAAATACTTCGTATATTTCGTAAAAAAAGAAAAAGCAGCATTTTTATCAGCTAACAATCCGTCAATTGTCAGTCAAATTAAATTCGATCCACGATTTATTCCCGTTCCAAGTGATCGTCGCGATTGAATTTTGATCTCGCGAGAAGGTAGACGAAAAACATGAGGAGAGGTATTCTTTATTAAATTTTCTCAGAGGTTCGTGATCCATAGAAACGTTGCGCGGATTTATTAGACTATATTATCATTCTGAATCGTGAAATCGAGTTAATGAGAAATATATTTAATAATTTTTCATAAGTTTAAAATTAAAAAAAAAAAAAAGAAATAGGAAAAAGAAGCGAACAAGCGATAAATATAAATTTGTCGACGTCGAGCACAGGTCGAATTTGGTGTTTCGCCACGCGATATATTTAAATTTTTCATCCGTTTATTTTATACGGTCTGCTACATAATTTCCCGAATCTCTCGATGGACACGTGACTGGATAACTCTGGTTGGTAGAAAAAAAAAAAAAGAAAAAAAAAAAAAAAAAAAAAAAAAAAAAGAAAAAAAAAAAAAAAGAAAAAAAAAAAAAAAGAAAAAAAAAAAAAAAAGAAAAAAAAGAAAAGGGACAATGTTCGCAATCGATGAAGCTATTGTAAGAGCTGACGTAACCATCCACTGTCGAGTCTTTTGCGGAATTGCCCGCATAAGCGAAAATCAGTCCTCGTCGATCGTGATGCGAAATGTTGCAAAATTTCCCTTTGACGGTGCACGCTTTCATTCATGGCTGGTTCGAATATTAGAATCGTGCTCTGGAATAAGAATCTCTTTGTTCAATGTTCGATCGATAATTTTTTTTTTTTTAATTTAAAATAATGGATCCTGTTTCTTTTTTGACACGAATTACCATAGTATATTCGCTTTCTTTTTTTTTATTTTTTTTATATTTCTTTTTCAAAGAAATGTGCTTGTCTCTATGAGATATAGGTTAAATAGATAAAGAAATGTCGATCCAACATTTCCCTTCTTATCTTCTTATCCCAGGCTCTCTAAGATGATCTCGCCAAGATGCTTCGAACAATCATAAATCACAAAAGAAAGGGTAGCTGATAAAGGTGTTGAACACCAAAGAGAATATATAGGGAGAGAGGGGAGAGGAAGTGAGAGCAATTGAAAAAGAAGAAGAGATATTCAAAGGGCGACCATTCCTCCTTTCTTTCCCAAACTTTTCTTATCTCTCGTATCAATTGTTTTTTTTTTTTTCTTCTTTCTTCTTTCTTCCCGTTCTCGATTAGAAAGTTTCTATTATTGTTACGAATTACGATGGATGAAGTAACGAAGTGAATAGGAAAATTTTAATCAAAGGAGGAAAAACGTTATTTATCTTGGATGTGCGACATTCTTTGTCCGAATAACCCTATTACGGCTTTTTCAATTACCTCATCTATTTTCGAGACAATCACATGGAATTGCAAAATCGCGCCAGAAAATTTATTCCACGTGTCTCTCCCGCTCTCTCTCTCTCTCTCTCTCTCTCTCTCTCTCTCTCTTTTGTTCATTTAATCCCTCGTTTTCTATTAAATTATTCCATCAAATATTCAATAAATCAAAATTTGGTAAACAATCCTTGCTTCGAGCAATCGATGGCTCACATTCCCAATTAATCGCGAGCACTGGTAATAATCAAAGAAAAATCTCTACGTAATAAATACTCTCCTCTTCGTGATTTCGAATTACTTTTTTAAATAATACATATTCCAAAAGCCAAGAGAGAGAGAGAGAGAGATTCCTCATATTTTTTTCATGTATTTTCTCGTCGAGAAACTAATATTTATTTTAACGTGTAAACAATGTTATTCGCCGAAGAGGAATCGCGGGAGTAGACGTGGAAGCTGGCCGTGTAAAAACTTAGTTTTAACATGAAAATACAGAGATCGAGAGGAAAGGGAGTCGCCGTTGAGTCTACAAACTGAAATATGTACGTATCCTCGAATATACACGAAAGTAGTTGCATTGTTTTTTCGGGGTCGACAGAAAGAAGAGCATGCAACTCTCTCGGAATTTCTTTCTTGACCCGAGAAACAATCGTTACATTGAATTAAAGTCGAATAAAACGTCCACTTGCCTTCGAAACTATCGGTAAACGCGGCCAGACAATGACGTTGTTTTCATGATTTTATTTCTTTACAGACTTGAATAACGTGTAACGAGGTACTTTCGCCTCGATCGAACCACGATCTCGAATTTTAGAATGCATGCATAAGGATTGGCGAGTAAAAAGATAGAGAAATAAAATCGTTTTGAAATTGTTTTCGATAAATCTTTTATATATTTTATCGAGTATTATTTTACAATCGGAGAATTCAAATAGACAACGAATAGGAACGAATTAAACGTAATTAAGGATAAGAAGGATTTTGTTGATCGATCGTCAAAAACTTGTGACTAATTTTAAAACTAGATCGCGCGATATCAGGATAGCTCGAGATGAAATAAATTGAACGAAATCCCTAAGACAAATTCCTTGACCTAGTATATAAGAGTCGCAACGACTGGATAGTTACAAGAAAAATAGTGAGCTATCGTCCATTTCTTTTAAACGATGTGTTATCCTTGTAAAAATCTTTGTAAAGACAAACTTATATATTAGGTCGATTTGTCCCAACAGCTTCCGTAAATTTTATTAAAATATAACGACGCTTATATTCTAGTTTTTAGGATTAAATACACGGTGCTCTAATATATGTAATCTTCCTACAAAATTCTTTAAATTTTTATAATCGTAAAATATATTATCATTATACATGGATTCTTTCCATAATTTCACAATCGAAATGTAGAAATGTTTGTAAGAAACGCACGCCTATCCAGATATATATACATTATAACATAGCACTGACATTTCAAAATATCGGTTTTAAACAAAAAGTAGAAAAATTAATTAAAAATTAATTAATCGTGGGAAAAAACGCGAAACGATACTCGAACCTCGAATCTCAATTTTTCCTTTTTTTTTTTAATTGTTTCGTGTTTATACGTTTCATTTGTGGCGGGTGTTTATATGCAGCATGACGCCTCGTTAAAAATGATTTAACGAAAATGCGAGAATGCGTGGATAAATTTCATTTTCAAAGAGTGACGGTTCGAAGCAAGCAAGGGTTTGTTGTAAACGCGAATGGGAACGCAATGTTTGCGACGATAAATTCAGACCTCGAGAGTGCTCCAGGGATCGCGTGCAAAATGTAAATTCCGTAACAAAACTCGCAGAATCGCCGCTCGGCTTCTGGGGCCAATGAGAAACATTGGGGCGGGTTTCGAAGCACGCGATACGGGTCACCGACGTGCACTCGCGCAAAGTGAAAATATTCCGGAATTTCTTGCAGCCACCAGCTTCCCTCTCCCCCTTTCATTCACGCTTCATTTAAAGAAACCTGGCACGCTTTCAGTTTCCGTTCCGCGAATGCGAACTTCGCGAGGCGAAGTTTTTAATTGGGTAAGAAACATCTGTAAGGGAGGATTTAATTTTAATCCGTGAAATAAGGTTTTCAGAAGAATCGAAATTACTTGGAATTTTTCGATCGATCGAGACACTTGACAAAATGAAATGGAACGAGCTAATGAAATTATCTGAAAATTATTTAATTGCAAGGTTTAATATGAGAAAATTTTTTTCAGAAATTACGTCGAAGTGTCTTATAATTTTTTGAACCATCGAGACGTTCAAGATATAAAGATAAGATATAAAGAAAAATTAATTTCGAAGTTTCATTCGGGAAGGGAGGGATTAAGAAATTAGTGAAAATGATTCTCGTTACTTTGACAACGATTTTCTTTGTGGATATAATTTATCAATCTATCACAAACGCGAAATAAACGCTTGGATAATTCGATAATTCAGTTCTGCCACTCTAGCACGTCTGCTCATATTAATTCATGGTAATTATCTGGCCGACTTGTAATAAAGCAGAAAGCTGCAATGGCATCGTCGATACTTATGCCATAAATTTTAAAGCGATTACTTATGATTGCCAGATTGCCAATTACGTTATTTGTTTCATAAACACGCGAACAACGAAGAATTTGAAGCATCGTACAAAAGCTGGTAAAGATTTCACGAGTTTCGTACTAACAGCGTTATAAAATCCATGGAAAATTCTAAATTACAGAAGAAAAAAGAAAAAAAAAAAAGAAATGTTAATACGCTCGTAATCTTCTTGAATATTAAACCATTCTTAAATCATCTTAGCTTAAATATGGAGAAAAAAAAAAAACGTTGTTCGTTTGAAACAAATTATGGAAAAAATCGGAGGGAAGAAATAGTTATACAAGAGGGAAGGAGAAAATTATGAAAATCCGTGGCAAGTTCTCTTTCTTTTCTTTATTTTAAAATTATGTAGAATATTTTTAAAGTATCCTCTATCAAATATGCAAATTTGATTTATTTTAAATTTGATTTATTTAAAAGAGGATATTTTCGTTGGCATTCAATATCAATATCGGCTTTTTAAATTTTTTAACAATTTTCTATGATTAAAAAAATCTTAATTATAGAATATTATTTTATACTTATATTAAAAAAATAAATAAAATATAAGTATAAAATTAGGAGCGAAATTATTAATAATGACATAAGAATCATTATTCATTTTTTCCTCATCGCAGTGTATTTTAAAATCTTGAAATGGATCTATTTTAATCCATTTTAATTCATTTTAGAAGAAATAAATTCTTACGTAAATTCTCCGTATAATTTACGATTCGAATGGGGGCGAGAAAAAAAAAAAATTAAATTAAATATCCATGCGAAAAATTGCTTAAAATTAAATCACTACCAAAGAAGGATCACCAAATTTATTAAATATTTAAATACAATTTTTTCGATTAAAATTTCACACATCGATTATTAGGAAATATTAATTTAATGCGATAAAGTCTACTGCGACGGAATATTTAAAAGCTTGCTCTTTGCTTTAAAACAAACAAAAGAGAATTATCCACGGAATGTTTGCTGAAACCAAATTCCAATGTACTCTAGTTATTATCGCGCCAAGTTTATGCATTAACGTCATCCCTCCTCGTTGCCTCCTCTTACGCGTGCATACCACTTTCCCCTGCGATCTTTGTTGCGTTGCAGCGGCGAATTATAGAAGCTGCAAGCTCATCCAACCTTTGTTAATCTTGCTTTCAGGTAAATGCGCAGGAGCGTGGTGTGTGCCGGCCCTCGGACGTGATTTGGTGGTGGTGTGCGTGTAAAGGGCCAACGAGTGAGGCCGCAACGGTGAGCATTCGAGATGAGCTATGAATTTAGGCTGCCTGGTAGCCATCGTCTTTGTGCATCAGCTGCTGTCCGACGCCACAGCGCTACCCTCAGTCGTCAAGATTGGTGAGTCGATTCTATCTATCTACTTTCGACTTTTCGGTTTTCGTTGGTTTCTTTTGCTCAGGCTTTAAAAAAAATATCGAGCCTTTCTCTGAATTTATTTTAGTTTATTTATTATTTTTTATCGAGAAATTGTTTGTATAGAAAATTATGTACTCGAAGCCACGAAGGGTTTTGAGATTTCGTAGTTTTTTAGATTTATTTTAGATTTTTTCCTTTTTTTCGAATTGTCAAAATTATTGGGAATTAAAAGAAATTCTTTAAAATTATAAAATATCTAAAAAATTATATACTCAAACGGAGGGTTTTGAGATTTCGGAGTTTTTTAGATTTGAATAGAACACCGGGGATTAATTTAATTAGCAAAAATTATCACGTAGATTCCGCGATCACTTTCTCTCGAATTGTCAAAATTATTGGGAATTAAAAGAAATTCTTTCTTCCTTTCTTTTTCAAATTGCTAAAATTGTGGAAAGAAAATAAAAGCTCTCAATTTTTGCAACTTCCTGTACAATGTGCTAACATCCTCTGAGAAAACATGAACGGATAAAAGGATTGTCATACGCACACACAGCAACAAACATGTCAACGAAGGTAAAGTAACCAAGCACATTGTAATCCCCAAGAAGAAACTTGTGTATAGAGAAACAAAGTAGAGTAGAAAAGTCTTACATTTTAAAAGGGGAATTAGCGAAAGATCGTGAAAGGTCTCGTTTTCCTCGAGTAACACTCCTCTCTCTCCCTCGATCTTGTTTTCCCCCTTCTTCTGTGGTTTCACAACAATTCACTCACACTTCGTTTCCCCCTCGCGAACGCTTTTACGCTTTGCTTAAAATATTCGCAATTTTGCCCTGACTTTGTTCATCAAAACGATCGTGCTCGACGTGGAAAAGGGTCATGGAATCTGCGAAATGTGAAATAAAACTCGCCTCGTCGTTAGTATTCCGACGATCGTAAAGCTGGGGCTGTAACTCGATAAATTGAACTTCTTAATGCAATCCTGTGAAGTTCTGACCGGCTACTTCGTCCGGTTGAGTAATTGTCGAGTAATAAAAGTACGTGACCACGTTGATCATGAGTAATTTCGAATATTTCGTAGTTGGAATAATGGGAGTTGAAGGTTCGATAAAAATGTGTTTGTACTCCGTTAAAAGCTTTCTGATAGGAAATGTCAACATTCCGTTAGGTGCTATTTGGATTGGAGATATCTTCGCGAAAGTGGATGAAAGTAGCCTTGTAAATTTGTTGTTGAGATTTGTGATTAAACATCTTGGATAATATTTGTTCTTCTTAATAATTTCAAGGAATAAGATAGTGATAGTAAATAAAGATAAAAGAAACTTTTTTTATTTTTTATATAAAAAAAAGAATATTTCATTGCAAGAACTTTTCACGTTTTAGTAATATAAATATAATTGTTTGGCATTGATTGAAAAATTTATATTTTAAGTCAATTTTCAATGCCAAGCAATATGTGCATTTTATAATTATATTTGGTATAAAATTAGAATCAAAACTAACATATAAATAAACTCACTATCTTATCCTTTTTTATTTCGTGCAATTATAAATTTCAAAATTACATGCTTTTTTTAGCTTCTTCGTATTTTCTCCAATATTAAGGCAATATTTAGGTCATAAACGTGTACAGGAAAGTCGTATATCGCTATTTATCTCATATAATTATTAATTATTAATCGTTAACTGTCGAACATCTGCTATACCTTGTTCCATTTGGCGTTGAAATTTGATTTCCACTGTTGGATGTCCCAAAGGCGGAAGTTGGGATCACATAGGAGAGTTCTTTAGGCAGAAGGTGAAGCTAGACAAAGTGCAGACGCGCTTAAGTATTCTCGCAAAGAAAGGGGTTGTTCGCGTGTTAAGTCAATCAATTAGATAGGATCGATAATTTTCATTGAGCGCATCGAAGTTCGTGGTTTGGCGAAGCTCAGGAGTTTAGCGAACCTCGATAAAACTTGCTTCCTTAATTCGATAAGCTTCGAGAAATTGTCTCGAATTTTTTTTAACTGTTTCATCTTCGAAAGGATCGTCAAATTCGATGGAGATAGTTTGATTCATTGATCATGTTCGAGCAATATATAGTTCGCAATCTTTGTTGTAGACAGTGATGTAGATACATTTTGTGCAAATGATATTTAATAATACGTACAAATTTGCACAAAAATCGTCATTTTCCAAAATTTTCGATTTATTTCCAGCGAGGAATATCGTGTCTGTTATCTTGCCAAATTGGTCCCGCAATTTGCGTGATCGAGTGAATCGTTCGGAATGGAATAAGGGCTTTGAAGGGCTCGACATTTGCCGCAACAAGATCGAGGTCTTTAGGTGAACGAGAAGACCAGTTAATGGTTCCACCATAAATCATTTAATAACGAACATTAGTCCATGGTTACTGTGCCAGGAATGTGGCACAATCTCTTTCCGTTTTTCATCCGATTCTCATTTATTATAAAAATTATTATTCGATATTCGAGAGGAATTCAAACATATTACTCCCTATGTTTGAAATTTGAAATTAATTCTTCTGAGTTTTTTTTTTTTTTTTTGAATATAAAAATTTGTTTCATAATGAGGAGGAAGATATTTCATTTCATTAAAATATTCGTAAGTGAATATTTTATGAAATTTTTAGTAAAATTAATTTTAAAAAATTCTATTTCCATTTGTTATTTTATTCGTTTCATATTTTAAATACTAAAATTAGGGAATATTTCGTTATATTTTATGGTATATTATATAATATATTTTTTGTTTGTAAATAATTTGTTTATTTAATTTGGAACGTTGTACGAACGTAATGGATTTCATCTGAATATATTTTATATCTCTGAGTAAAGATTTGGCAACGAATCAGCAGTTTCAATTAAAGAATAAAGGTCGCGATCACGAAGGAAAAGTCGAGAGAAAAAAGAGAGAAAATGGCTAGAAAAATAATTTACTTTTGACAATTTTCTGTCTTTTTCTTTCTTGCAGGATAAATCCCTTGGTATTATCTTTTCAAATCGAAAAAAAAACTACTAAGCTATTTACAATAAAAAAATTAATTTAATATCTTCTAAAAGTTCCATATATAAAAGGAAGAAACACGAATAAAAATTACTTCTTCGTGTATCTTCCATACGATAATTCCTATTCAATTGGCTTATTAGTTTTTTTCACAAGAAATGATCGCATTTTTAGGAAACAATTTTCATATATTTAACTACAAAAGAAACAACAATATACACGTTACTAATAAAAACGTGTAACATGTTACGCGTGTAGCCAAATTTTTACCATACCTAGATATATTTTTTCCGTTAGATAACTTTCAACTACCTGAAAACGACATTACAGGGCTCGGTGAAGTTTTATCTGTAAGGGCGTAGCTCGTGATACAGATACGCGTGAGACGTTTCCCCTTTTCTCAGTCCCCGCCTCCAACTGTCTCTCCAACTTATGGGAAACTCACAAATGAATAGTGAACAAGCATTCGTTTCCCTTTGTTCCTTATCCTCTCGAAAGATTTCACCTCTGGAAAGGAAAAATTCGCGAAAGGAGGAATTGCTCCGAAAGAATAAAGTGTACGCGACCGGTTAAACTTCTCTCTGCTTTCTGTTTCTCAATCTGTTATCACGAGAAGGATGCAGTTATCCTTGCTGTAACGAAGGCTGAATATTCCACGAGATTTGTTTTTTTATCTTTGTCTCGGAAGAAAATAAGGAATAGCAAAAGTAGTGTAGTTAATTATTATAGAGCGAATGTAGTTAATTCTTTGCAATAAACGCATGATAATCTTGTAATATGAACAAAATTTCATATTACAATTATGCGTTTTTTAAAATTATATATTTTTGAAGCTCGTTGCGTTTCCGTTCTCATTTGTAACATAGAAATCTCATTTCATTAAACGATTTATGATGTTTGCCATTTCTCTGGAAAGGGGATGAAAATACGAAGGATACAGTTTTTATTTTTGAAAGAGGGTGAAAAATGATAGTGACGTCACGTCAGAAATTCACTTTAAATATTCAGTATTTCGTAATAATTTTAAAAATGTAAAAAGTGTATCCTTTTTTTTTTCGCCTTTTCACTTGCGAAATTTCACTTTATAGGAGATCGTTTCGAAAGATTGTGTTTGTCACTCGTCGAAAGAACCACCCTGAAAATCCACCCTCGCCCCTTCAAGATCCTTTCCATTCGCGTTGCAAGTGACGAGGAGGGGTGAATAAATGGACAAAGTTTGGCAACAAAAGAGAAACGTGGTTAACTCTTACTAGCTCAGACACTTGTTCCCGAATTTCCCGTTTCCTTCGACTTTTATTATTCCATGGTGTACTTATTGCCGACGAATTTTATCACTTCTGGTGTGGATTATCGAGAAGAGATCGAACATTTCGTCGTACAAGACTTGAAGATCGTATTGGGATATAGAGAATATAGTTATATCAATTCTTAAATTGATCATTTTATCTGAAAGAAGAATATCATCAAAATAAAAGAAAAATAACTTTTTTTATTCTTTATATTATTCAATTGTTGTAATTAAATTCTTGAGATTTTACAAATTAAAATAAATACGATTGTATTTGAGAAATAAAAAGAAAGAACAACGAATAAATTTGAATATCTCAATTACGAGATCCAACGAATTTATCCGCAAAATTTCGCACAATTCATTATTACCAGAGATTCCAACTTTTTACTTCTAAAATCTACGGAACCGCGCGGAATATTACTGTCAAAAATATGTAGAACGTACACCAATGTATCTTCAACCCTCTCAACAAGAAACATTACACGAAAAAACGATCGTACGAAGCTCAAGAGTTCAATATATATTCGCAAAGTGAAACAATCCCTGTGTTTCACAGACTTCCTTTTTTGCACGGTTCTCCGCGATATTAGAGGACGAGAAAGAAAAAGACAAAGAGAAAGAAAGAGAGAGAGAAGGAGAGAGAGAGAAAAATAAAAAAAAGGAAAAGAATTGCACAGAGGAAGAT